TCACTATCACCGCCCCTTAACATCTGAACAAGATTGTCTTTTACATTCATATAACTCAAGGTCTTTTACATGCGGTCTGTGATTTTACGTTTATCTGCCAGATTTACCTTTGGGCTGATCTACTTGAGGAAGTTAATCTTACACAGCAGTATCTGCAGACTAAACGCATTACCCTTGACCATGTGGAAAGCAACCTAGAGGCCTTAAGATGGTTTCTGCACGAGAAGCGCTGTCACTTGGTAGAACATGCTATTGAAAAGTACTTTCAAAATCAGACCTATGTGGGATTTCGGTAGACAGAAGAATAAGGCTTAAGAAGAGGATGGCGGGAGAACAATTAATAGATGCTGGACTCTCTCTGTGGGATGTAAACAGAAGGGAGATGCTATCGCTTTCATTCTATACCACAGATCAGATCATCAGCGATTAAGGAAGTAGCAGATATGTTTGGGGCTTTTAAACCCAAGAGTCTACTATCAGCACGTAAAGAAGAGTTATTGATGTCCATTCCATGATGAGTTATCAGAGGATGAACTTTTAAAGAAATAACTAGGCTTAGAAGACATCTAAAGGCAGCTGATATTGAATTTCACAAAGTCATGGACTGGTCAGATGTTAATGTTTTGAAATTCATAGCTGAATGGGACTTCCTAGAACCTTCAATTGTTTCTTACGATTTGTGTGCCTGTGGCTTCATGTGAGTGGATCTGTCAACAACTAAGGCTTATAAAGAACTATTTACGATTCACCATGGGACAGTCAAGGCTTTATGATCTGGCTCTACGATCAACTGAAAGTATAATGTTGAAGGATGGGACAGTCCAGGCTTTCTGATCTGGCTCTACTATCAACTGAAAGTATAATGTTGAAGGATGGGACAGTCCAGGCTTTCTGATCTGGCTCTACGATCAACTGAAAGTATAATGTTGAAGGATGGGACAGTCCAGGCTTTCTGATCTGGCTCTACGATCAACTGAAAGTATAATGTTGAAGGATGGGACAGTCCAGGCTTTCTGATCTGGCTCTACTATCAACTGAAAGTATAATGTTGAAGGATGGGACAGTCCAGGCTTTCTGATCTGGCTCTACGATCAACTGAAAGTATAATGTTGAAGGATGGGACAGTCCAGGCTTTCTGATCTGGCTCTACGATCAACTGAAAGTATAATGTTGAAGGATGGGACAGTCCAGGCTTTCTGATCTGGCTCTACGATCAACTGAAAGTATAATGTTGAAGGATGGGACAGTCCAGGCTTTCTGATCTGGCTCTACGATCAACTGAAAGTATAATGTTGAAGGATGGGACAGTCCAGGCTTTCTGATCTGGCTCTACGATCAACTGAAAGTATAATGTTGAAGGATGGGACAGTCCAGGCTTTCTGATCTGGCTCTACGATCAACTGAAAGTATAATGTTGAAGGATGGGACAGTCCAGGCTTTCTGATCTGGCTCTACGATCAACTGAAAGTATAATGTTGAAGGATGGGACAGTCCAGGCTTTCTGATCTGGCTCTACGATCAACTGAAAGTATAATGTTGAAGGATGGGACAGTCCAGGCTTTCTGATCTGGCTCTACGATCAACTGAAAGTATAATGTTGAAGGATGGGACAGTCCAGGCTTTCTGATCTGGCTCTACGATCAACTGAAAGTATAATGTTGAAGGATGGGACAGTCCAGGCTTTCTGATCTGGCTCTACGATCAACTGAAAGTATAATGTTGAAGGATGGGACAGTCCAGGCTTTCTGATCTGGCTCTACGATCAACTGAAAGTATAATGTTGAAGGATGGGACAGTCCAGGCTTTCTGATCTGGCTCTACGATCAACTGAAAGTATAATGTTGAAGGATGGGACAGTCCAGGCTTTCTGATCTGGCTCTACGATCAACTGAAAGTATAATGTTGAAGGATGGGACAGTCCAGGCTTTCTGATCTGGCTCTACGATCAACTGAAAGTATAATGTTGAAGGATGGGACAGTCCAGGCTTTCTGATCTGGCTCTACGATCAACTGAAAGTATAATGTTGAAGGATGGGACAGTCCAGGCTTTCTGATCTGGCTCTACGATCAACTGAAAGTATAATGTTGAAGGATGGGACAGTCCAGGCTTTCTGATCTGGCTCTACGATCAACTGAAAGTATAATGTTGAAGGATGGGACAGTCCAGGCTTTCTGATCTGGCTCTACGATCAACTGAAAGTATAATGTTGAAGGATGGGACAGTCCAGGCTTTCTGATCTGGCTCTACGATCAACTGAAAGTATAATGTTGAAGGATGGGACAGTCCAGGCTTTCTGATCTGGCTCTACGATCAACTGAAAGTATAATGTTGAAGGATGGGACAGTCCAGGCTTTCTGATCTGGCTCTACGATCAACTGAAAGTATAATGTTGAAGGATGGGACAGTCCAGGCTTTCTGATCTGGCTCTACGATCAACTGAAAGTATAATGTTGAAGGATGGGACAGTCCAGGCTTTCTGATCTGGCTCTACGATCAACTGAAAGTATAATGTTGAAGGATGGGACAGTCCAGGCTTTCTGATCTGGCTCTACGATCAACTGAAAGTATAATGTTGAAGGATGGGACAGTCCAGGCTTTCTGATCTGGCTCTACGATCAACTGAAAGTATAATGTTGAAGGATGGGACAGTCCAGGCTTTCTGATCTGGCTCTACGATCAACTGAAAGTATAATGTTGAAGGATGGGACAGTCCAGGCTTTCTGATCTGGCTCTACGATCAACTGAAAGTATAATGTTGAAGGATGGGACAGTCCAGGCTTTCTGATCTGGCTCTACGATCAACTGAAAGTATAATGTTGAAGGATG